CCACAAGGTCCTGCCAGGGGCAGGGATGAGCTGCTCTTCAGGGACATGCTCCCTCAGCACTCCATGGGCCATCAAACACATCTCCTGGGCAAGAGGGTGCGTGGGTGATATTGTTTGAAACCAGTGCTCTGTTTGCCTCCAAGATGGGAGCTGCTGAGCTGCCTTTTAAAGGTCAAATAGTTACACTTTCAAAAATTATGACAATAGGAATTCCTGAAGAGAAGGACTGCCTTTATCTCTGGAATCCTTACAATCAGGCACATCAGCTGCGCTCAGGTAACACAAGGGGTTTGCTCTTCACTGCTGGTCTTCAATCTCATTCACTCCTTTGTATTTTTTTTCTTTGCTTTTCTCTTTTTCTATCATGCTCTTTTATGGCAACAGGACAAAGTAGCCTCCAAGCCTACCTTCCTTGCACCTTCTCCCTCAGCTCTTCCTACTCCTTCTTCACTTCCTCATTGTGAGCAGCCCCAGGTCAATGCTGTCTCTGCACGCTTTAATCAAAAAGAAGGTTTGAAAATGCTTCTCAAGCCTCTGACATGGTTGCTTGGCTATTGTGCCCTATTATCATCACGGGGTTGTACACAGGGCTGTAATTGCATCAGAGGGTTCTGGTTCATATCGTGTTTGCTGTCAAAGAGCTCAGCTAGCCTGGAATAATGTCACCAGCACTAGGCACAGAACTGCAGTTCTGCATGAGCTCATTTTAGCTCACAGTCTGTATTGGTAACTGCACTGGGAGGGCAGCAATCATGTGTGCTGAGGTTCCAGAGAAAGCAAGATTTTCTCTAGGAAGGAAAGCTGCTGCTATTGACGTGACAGGACTGTGCTGGCCACTCTAAGGTGGGCAGACAGACTGCCCTGCCTCTGCAAAGCTGAGGGACTGCTGTGGTGAGGAGGTGTTATTGCTGATCATTTCTGCTCCTATTCCTCACTTGGCATAAAACACATTGAGGCAGAGGTCTGAGTGTTGGCATGGACACCTACTGGAGGTGCTAAGCACCTCTGCAGGCCCAGCTGAGGCAGCAGGGTCCTGTCATTAATGCAGTGGGCTGAGGAAGAAGGTGTATCACATCATCATCCCAGATCTAATACGGATTTTTTTCTGTGACCTCTGACAATTTACTAACCTGTGTTTACCCATCTGTGCTGTGACCATTTATTAGCCCTATCAGGCTGTGTGACAAGGGTAAATTGTCTCATTCAGGCCCCAGTGCCAGGAAAACTACTGCTCATGGTGCTCAGTGGAAGCACATGTTCTGCCCTTCAGAACTCCTGGGCACCCTGACAGGTAACCTGCCATCCCATTAACACCAATGCCACCAGGAGGCCAAAAACAATGGGCAAGCGCAAAAACATCTCAGATCCCACAAGAACCAAGCCTTTTGCGGAGAAAGACTGGCTGTGCCAGTGCCTGTGAAATAGGACACAAGTTGCCAAACAGGAGAGAAAGGAATCACTGCCCTCTTGTTTGGAAACACCTGACTGTCTGCTTGAAGAGAGGTCCAAAAGCCATGGTGATTGACATCTACGTCAGAGCGCAGGTGCCACCACCTCTTAGAAAACATGGGGACACCAAGTGACTGCATGGCTTTGTTATGAACCCACTCAGCTTCCTGAGCATCCCCTCAGCACCGCATTGATCAACCAAGAACAGAGCAGAGCTTGGCTTTTCCCAGTGATACCCTTTGTGAGATAAGATGTGCACCAACTGGGCGTGTTCCTCATTCATGCAGGACTGGCAGGTGAACTAGCAGGTGAACTGGGATTCAGGCTGAGTGGTTTGTTTCTGCCACCCAGCTCTGCCCTGCGTTTGACCCACACAGCAAGAAAGCAACAAATGAGTCACATCCCTATAGTTTGTGCCCGGGCTGTGCTTGCTCCCTCCTGCCTAGATGAGGAGGGTGTGTCAGCACGCACATAGGCTCTCCATCGGTCCCCACCAGTGGTCATGAGCCTGATCCAGTGCCAGACACTTTGCCAGCTAAAACACAAAGGTGAAACAGCACCCCAGGTGAAATCCCCCAGCTCTCACAGGAGGGAAGCTGCCCTGGGAGGTTATGAACAACCTGGGATGAAGACAGGGGCAATCAGAAAATACTTCTGTTTTTAGCAGAAGGTTGGCCATATGCTAAGGACCAAGCATAGGACAAGAGCAGCTGGGTTGAGAGCGAAAAACAAGAAAGGTCAAGAATGGTCTGTTCGACCAGATGTAGGTTTTAAATCAAGACTGTGATTACTTCACAGGAGGAAGGGCAGGATCAGGCCACTGCCACAACAGGCTGTTTTTTGCATCAGTTCACCACAGGTTCCCATTAACATGTCTCCTCCAATGGCTGCTAATTGTGGCTGGCATCAGCCAAATGCAGATCACAAAACAGTGTCTCATCACAGTAGGAATACCCTGCTGTGTTTTTCAAAGGTATATTCCTCAGAGGAATGTGTGCCCAACCAAAATAGCTTCAAGAAGTTAAGCTGGAACAATTTTTGAGACAGGAAAAATTGCTGCACAGCCAATATCTTGCTGAAAAAGACAGCCCCTTGAAACAGCAGTGTGAGTTAAAAGACTCGTCTTCATTTTTAGACTTCATTAGCTGTGACCCAAGCATGATTTTATCCCATCAGTCAGCTGGAGCATGGAGAGAGTAGTATCTGGACGGTCTCAGAAAGTCCAAGAAGAGCTCAGTGCCTGGCAGAACCTTGTGGTCTTCCACATTGCCTCCTCCTCTGTACCACTGTGAGGGATGCCTGTTTCAGACAGCCTTCCAGCATGCAAGCAGACACCTGGATCTTCACTGAGACTTCCTCCGCCTCAACACTGATTGCAAAGGTACAAGCACAAAAAATCTGGGGAGCCAGCTTCCCATCCCAAAAGTCTGTGTGTTAGTCTGGAACACTCCTGCAGTCCCTCTCAGAGGACTAAACACAAGGTAGACCCACTCAGCCTTTGCTCACACACTTCTCTGGATGAAAGGGCTTGGTGAGAAACAGGTGTCTGCCACCCAGTGTTAATGGGTTGGACAAGGGGTGGGTTCCCTGGTGGGACATCAGTGCATTGGAAGGTAGAGCAACAGGCGTGTCTGTGGGGCAGGTACAATCACAGACACCCAGCCATGAGGACTGGAAGTCAAGGACAGCAAGGTGGGTGGCACTTTCCTTCAGAACTGCAGGAAGACAAGTGGTCTGACTTGCAGACAACTGGTGTGACGAGTGAAGGTGGGGTATTACAACACTCTCCTGGAGCACTGGGGGTTAGTGTATAAGGAGTCCTTCTCTTGTGGACCATGCAGAGGGCTTTGTATCCCTGTGTTTTCAGTGGCAGTGCAGCAAAGCTAGGCTGCTGTAACCCAGGAAAAACACTCAGCCTTTGGGTCAATTCTAAATTTTTTCGTACTCTGTCCGGGACAGCTGACAACCAGACAGAAGTACCTGTTAGTTTTCTCCACCAAGACCTCAGATTGTCATATTTGGCAGCCACCTTTCCTTCACATGTGCATAATGTCGTAGGAAACACTGCAGACAAATCCTGTCCTTGTGGTCATCACAAGGATATTTCATAGTAACACGCGAGCATATCAGAGCAGAACTAACGTGCTGCTGGTCCTTCCTTTGTTAGTTTTGTTACCAGGCTGCAACTAACAAAATTAGTAGTAACACAGGAAAAGGTATATGAAGATCAGTCCCCAAGGTGCTTGTGAAAATTCTGTGCTGCTTCATGAGAGGCTTGAAATACCCTTGAGAAGCCAGTCTGTGCATTTTCAGAGTTGTCACCATACAAATCTGTTTTGTATTAAGTTCCTGTGGATTTTAATTTAGTTTACTTTCCAGGCTCCTCTTGTCTGCTATGGCTTCACAGAGTCCAAGAAGTCGAATTGTCAGTACTCATTACACTTTTATTACACAAATTAAGCAGTCTCCATTGTTTTTTCTCATGGAAGAACAAGTGATGTTGACAATGCTCTCTGCGTGTAAATCAGACAGAATATGAACTGCCACATTACAGAAAATCTGATTTCTTCAATGTTTGCTTAGAAGACAGAGCTCTTACAAAAATTATTTAAAATGTAAAGAATTATCTTCTTTCAGTATTAAAAATTATTTCAGTTTCAGGTGATGTCATAGGTCAGTAACATACATGTCTCACAGGCAAAAAAAGACTAACCTGCAAAATAAAAAAACAGAGTCATAGAAAGCCTTGATGAACTGCATATACTGTACAGCTTCCCCAGAGCAGTCATCTGCAAGAGGGGGTTGAGATAGAAAAAAACAGGACTGGAGTTCTCCATTTCCTCTTTAACTGGATAGCAACTTCCCATTTGCTTTGGGAATTCCCATAATGACAGTAGAGACACCTGGCTTTTTTTGTGGAAACAGTGTGCAAGTGTCAGCTGTTGCATGACAGGTAAGGCAGAGCAATTTAAACAAAAATCTGAATAATGAGTATAGTAAAATTATGTAATAACAGCTTAACAAGAAACCCACTTGAAAGCAAGCAGGAGACTTGTCACTATAAGATGTGCTAATTACACGATGGAAATTTGTCTGACAGTAAGAACATACAGTGTGTAATTTCTGTATATGGGATAAGGACAATGGCTGTTTCTATGTCTAAGAAACCAGGATGCTTTGGTCTCAGCCTGTGGTCTCCCTAATGCATTTTACAACACTGAGAATGGCTTTAAAACATAACTGGGTCATGCTCTTCACCCACTTGCATTGCTCGACTTGAGGCAACCATGTTATTCTTTTGTTCCCTCCATTTTTGGCCTGGTAAACTTCAAAGTTTGAGAGACCTGTTTCAGTGAATAGATGTGACCTAGACACTCTGCTGCTACAGTAAAGGCTGGATCACAAAATTCTCTTTTATCACATTTAATTATTTAGCAGAAATAATAACCTCTTACCTTATAAAGAAAGAGCTCACAATATCCTTCTGGACAAAATATTATGAATTGTATTAATTATGTTTCTAGGTAAAAAAAAGTCCAGAACTCTATACCCTGATTTTGTGTTGTTTATTCACCCAATACCACATCTCACACATACTCACAGTCCATTAGGACAAAGATAACGACTGAAGATAATGATGATATAATATTTATCCCTCACCCTGCTAAAGCTTTAACCATGGATTGAAAGGTATGTTTTCAGAGTTGTTGCTCATGCCGTGTGATTCCTATCAGTGGGAGAGAGTGAGAACAGGGAAATAAGCCTAAAATCACTATTCACACCATTCAAGAAATTTAACAGAACATACTTTTTCTTTCTTGCTTCACTTTCTGGTGAGCTTAATCATAGAACTTGAGCTTAACCATAGAGCTTGAGCCATGCAGAAACACTGTGTGCACTTTCCTGCTGCCTTGGTTATGAAGTTCTAATGTGGCCTCTGAGACCAACCTTGTGATCACAATTTCATTGCATAAACACTCCTTTAGCACTGAGCAGCAAACACCAGACACATCAATTGCTGCATAAAGACAAATATAAGTGCCTTCACCTTTGCACCAAGGGTCTCCCATGCACCCTTCATAGTTTGCCTTTCACTTCCAGCCCTGCAGCCTTCCACCTGAATTGCTGTGTCAATCTTTTTCCCTTCTCCTTCCTGTGCTATTGCTTTTGTGATATTATCCTCATGGCCTTCCACTTGCAAACCTCAGTATTCTAATAGGTTCTCATAGAAAGCAACTGCTGATAATCTGAGAATCCACCATTTCTTTCCCCTGTGTTTCATATCTGGTTTGTAACTTTAGGTTACGTTAGGGGAAAAATAAGAGTTAGCAAATAGAAAAGTATATAATAATCAGGTAAATATTCAATAAGTATTACCAGCCATAAATATGCTCAAAGTGGAGTGACTGACATGCACCACCTGTGACTGATTAAATGTGATCTCGTCAGCACTGACAGCATCACATACAGGAACAACCCAGAGGTAGCTTGGCTAGGTCCTAATACCAAGCACAGAGTTAAAAGAGGAAAAAGCCTGAAAAGAATAACTATAGACATCTTCCTCATCCTTACTGCTAGCAGGCTCTGGAAAGGACACTCTTCTTGGGGCCACATTGCTTCACTTCTTGGCTGGCTACTGGTCAGGCACCTCCTTCTCTTTCCATTTATTTTCCTTATGGTAACTCCAACTTGATGTGTGGACCTCACTGATAAAACTCTGTGCAGGTAAACCTGCCTCAAGAGGTGTGATGATACAGTTATTATACAGTTGGCAAGGTCTTAGCCCCTTATGGAAACAGAGGGAAGCAGAGCTATAGTCCCCCACAGTAAAAAATACTGACTCTATGTATTATTGCTTGAGCTAATTATATTTAGTTAGTTAAAGCTTAGCTTTGTTATATAAAGCAACATCTTGTTCCAGGATAGAATGCTGCACAGAACTAAGATTAAGCAACACTCCATTATATGGACTGAGATTCAGTGGGTTTAATTTTTGTCAAAGTTTTAAGCATCCAGGCCAATATTCTTGCAAACCAAGGCTGTCCCTGACAACAAAGCATTACACCCTCGCTGATTATTTTAGTGGGAGAGATAAGAATGACAAGTCCTAGTGCTCTGTCACCTAGAAGTACACCCTCTCCCTTCTGGAGCGGGGACTGTACCAAAAGCAGGGGTAGGGAGATGAGAGGCTGCAAGGCACAGACGCAGATTTTGATGCTGCCGCAAATCTGCGCATCCTACCCTATCCCACACTTGACCCCTGCTTTGGGCAGAAAAGATATTGCTGCACTTTGGCGAGTTTGGTCCTTTAGGATGCCTGCGCAACGCTGGCAGCACTCGGAAGCGCTGGGTGTCCAAAGGCAACGCTCTGCAGTGGGCTGCCTGCTCCCTCTGCTGGCAGCGGCCGCTCCGTCGGTCCCGGCGCCTCTCTAAACTCCGCCGGAGGAGCTGGAACTGTGCTGAAGACGTGGGAGAAATGACATCGAAACAAAGCCCTTGAGAACACGAGGCATGAGTTTACATCTCCTTCCAGTGTGATGGATGAGCCATCAGTCCTGCTCACTACCGTCAGCAGCAAACAGATCGTGTCTGTGCCTTACATAGGTCCTGGAGCTGTTCTGTTCCTTTATCATCACCCAGAAAACCTGTAGCTTTACCATCATCCAGAAAAACAGTTACCCACAGTAGCAAAACAATCACAGTTTGTTTAGCCATTTCATTTTTATGGGCTTCAAAAGCAGTGAAGTGAGCAATGGATTAAAAAGCAACACAGTTTTGACCTCATGTAAAAATCCTCTGCAGAATGTGAATACCTTCAGTAATTCCTCTACTGTAGCACCCATTCTAGGTCTTGTCCTCACAGTGCACAGTGGACTGGCTTGTTTTTCAGTCATGTCTTTTTTTTTACAGTGAAAACTCCAGAAATGGCATAATATGAAAATTTGTAATGCAAGGATCAAATATCCCTAACACTCTGGATCACTGGGTCCCACAGTACCCATGGCAAGGCACACCACTTATTCTAAAGATTCTGAGCCTGGAGAGCTCCCACTCCTACACCATGCAAGCACCACTACTGATATGTTAGAGAGAGAAGAAACACAGTGGCCAGTTGGAGGCAGGTTGTGCTGCTCTGGATCCATCTGAAACAAAAGCACTTTTCTTCTGAAGATGACGCTTTTCTCTAGGTGTCACAGGCATCACAGTACCTCGCCAAATGACACTACAGTTATCAAACATGTTATGCAAGAGCAGTATTACTTACTACACAAGAAGCACACGCACCATTAACTACCCACATAGGCAGGGAAGCAAATAAACACATTCTGTCTTCAGGTGCCAGGACACAGTTAATGCTGTACTGGATGCTGCACACCTTTCCCCTCCACCCCAGTAACCCTGAAAAACAAAAATTCATTGGCAGAAAAGTTGCACAGAAAGGAAAATTGCAAAGACATGGGATTGCTTATGAAATAGGTATGAAACTAAACAAGGTTGCTCCCGATACCCAAGTTCTTTCATCTGCCTCAGTTTTTTAAGTGTCACAGGGTGGCATTTGAAAATGTACTTTGAATATATATGTTCACTTGAAAAATGTTTTCTAGACTCAGTAGATTTCAAAAGATGTATTTCAAGCATTTCAAGGTGGCTCCCTAAAGAAATAAAATATGTGTAGCCATATTTTTCATGCAAGCACATACACTGTGTTTTCCAATAGCTTGAAATCATCCGCCTTTTTTAATAACATCTGATAGGAGTGGTCAGTTCCTATAAGCTTGAAACATCAGGATTTTGGGACATAGTTTTTATTTTAATCATTACAGCAAGTTATTAAAAATGTTCGCTGTTGGATATTATATTCAGACTGAGTTGTAACTTCTCTAAAAATTATAAAATCTATTGAATACTTATACTCCATCAAAAAGAAATGACAACTGGCACTTTAAAAAAGCATTGTAGTCATATATGAAAGGCCAGTATTTCTGCTAGTGTTCAAAATTTATCTGTGGCAGACTTGACGGTAGAACTGTGTCACCATTAACACTAGAATTTCATGACATGAAAGCCATGAATGGCTTTAGCTTATCTAAAAAGAGAAAAGGAATCATTAGAAAATTCATTAGAAAATGGAAAGGACCTGGATACAGGCTGTGCAGAGGAAACAGTAATATCTTTAGAGTAAGATCTTCAAGTTCTTTAGAAATTCTGCTTTGGAATATACTTCATAGTTTTATCCATGTGGTAAAAATCAGACACTGCAATTAAATCACATACAATTAAAATCTCTCAGTCTAACAATGTATTTATCTATCTATCTATATTTCACAATATTAAAGCCCTTTGCTGAAAATGATGAGGCTGATTAAATAAAATAGAATTTACTTTTCCAGTTCATTTGTAGAAGTATTTTGAGGTCTTGATTATAATGATTAACTTAATGGATAACTTCTTTTCTCATGAATAATCTGTTCTCTTCTGACTTCATTTTGAAGCTTGCTAAAGAAGGTTCAGAACTGTTTCGAATAGTGATAAATGCGAAAATCGCACTTACAAAGAAGTGTAGCAATTTAACATTGTGAAAGTTCTGATACTGCCTCTTGTCCAACAGAACTTCACCAATACCTACCTTTTCTGGAGCCAGAAAACACTCTGTAAGAGGGCCAGTTGTATCCTATTACTTAGGGAAATTATTAGATTATGACTGATTTTAATGGAGAAAAGACCCTATAACTCAGATGTCTCAGGGGAGATGAAAGAAATCAGGTTATTTTCCTACCAAGTTCTCCTGTAAAAGCAGTGCACAGTTAGGAAACACTGCGTAGAGCTGTGCAGAACACAAATACAACACATTGACTGGATTCTTTCTGAAGCTACGCTGGCTGCTAAAATGTCAATACCTGGTTAATAAAAGAAGAGTAACCTTTTGTTCTCTTCCTGTTCACAAAACACAGGAGTCCAGAAAAATGCAAGCACTTCTGGCCTGTACTTTCTCCTGAGCCACAAAAAGCTGAAAGCTCCTCCATCCCAGAGCAGAAAGCGAGATGCCAGTCTCCTCCCCCATCAGCAGAAGGTTTTCTGGGCACCGGTCTGACAGAGGCCTTTGTCCCTCACCTGTGAACATTTTCACAAAGTCAGCACTCGACATGCTCATAACCACATCAGCTGTCCCAGGAGGCTTTCCAAAGCCAGTGCTCCCACCCTTGTTCTTCAGGTCGATATACCACGTGCCTCCACCGTCACCTGCACAGAGAACGAAGAGAGGTGACGAGGCAGCAAAGGCAGCAAAGGTGCTCTGCCCTCCTCCCATTTGGAGGCAGCCAAAGCCAACCCCTGGCAGGTGACCCCAGCCCCACGTGCCCATGTGGGGACACGGGCAGGAGAGCCCAAAGGCTGCCCTTCGCTCACAGACCTGGAGGCAGCGGGTGTTTCAAGGAGACCCTGGGAGCACCCCTGCCTGTCCTCACACCAACCCTGTCAGGGAGGGCAGCGACAAAGTGACAAAGGCTCCACCTACGGCAGGAGTGGCAGCAGCTCCCTGTGCCTGCTGGAGGTCCTCAGAAGGAGCATCACAGCACAACAGGAGAGGAGCTGCTCTGTTTCGGCATCCGCTTGAAAAGGTGAGTGCTTCTGTTTGAAATCACCGAGTGCCTTTTGCTAGGGAAGGTTTCACATTTGATGCTCTTACCAGATAATTCAAACTGAAAGACGCCCTGAGTACTTCTCACGTTCTCTTCCGTCATGGCCCCCTGAATAACTCTGAATGTTTCTGCAACAGGCCCGGATGGCTTGGCTGGAGCAGATTCTGTCTTCTCCTCTTTCAATGCTTGGGCAGCACCTACAACAAAGATTATTTTTCTCTTTCAAATGATAACCACTTTAAAAATGAATGGAGAAATATGCATTGAGAGCTCCATTTGAAAAGATTTAAGCTTCAAAGTAGAGTAAATGATTATGTTCCCATTTTAGTATTTACACCCATAAAGGATGCTTTCTGCACCTAGGATCTGAATAGGTGTAGAGCACTACAGATAATTCTGAAATATATTTCACTTCCTAATATGTCAAAATAAAGGGGAAATAAAACGACAGCAAAATTCTTACTGTTCTCAGTTCATTACAAATGCTTACACAGCAGTTTTTTTACATAATCCATATACTCCTGACAACACTAAAAAAAAAACCAGTGTCTTTAATAGCCATCACTTTCATCTCAAAATACTTCTGTCTTGTCTATCTTGTAAAGAACATGTATATTTTCATGAATTCTTCTGCAAAGGCTTCTAAGCCTCAATTTGCTGCTTTGATCAGCATTCTATTGTACGACAGCATTTGCAATTTACAAAGTCAGTCAAGCTGATCAGCCTCTAAAAATGTTGTTGAAAGTGTCCTAGGTGTCTTCAATACCAAAAACCAGTTAGGTCTGTTCTGTGAGTCCCAGTATCATGAGGCCCAGGGAACTAACACCATCCATCTCTGGCAGAACAATCCTCCTAGTTCAACAGCTCAAATAGTATTTCCAACAGAAAGGAACTGTTCAAACTTTGCCTTCTCTGCCCTTCTCTTATCCCTAGTTCAACACTTCTATGAAACCTGTTCAGCATTCTTAGTTGCCCTCTAACTTGACACACTACAGTTCTGAAAAAGCGAAACCAAAGCTTTTCTAAAAAAGACTTCTGCATTTCATCTAAGACTTATTTTAATTGTGTAAATTGTGCATGTTTCATCTAAGAAGCCATGGAGGATTTATGTAATGTTCTTTTGTATAAATTTAACAAGGCAAAGGAGATATTCCTGCAAAATGTGCCGTTTGCTATTTAATTTCCAGTGATATTTACATGTGACCTTCTTACTACCACATTCAGATGTTTCAAAAAGGATTTTTCAAAATAATGCACTGACTTTATACCACAGAAGTCCTGCAGGAGGTAGGATTTTTTTCTCTAGTTTTTAGTACCCTCCAAATGAGAAAAGGGTTTCTGCTAAATACCTTGAGTGAAGTCCACTCTTAGGAGAAAAAAGAAAAACAACTAGAAATAGAGAGGGCACTCATTATTGTCAGAAATTATGGACTTGTACACACAGTGCTTTCCCTACCATATCCTTTTTGTTTCACAGCTGTAGTGTCAATCTCAACATCCAAGAAGAAGTCAGGTATCAGAGGGTGACCTAAGAGGAAGGAAAAATATAATAATAAATCCAAGTAAAGTTGGACAGAAGGAATCAATTTCATATGAAATTACAGCCAAGTCTATACGTAAATAAACTACAACTTGAAGGAAAAAACATAGCATGAAATAACATGTTTAGAGTTTTGTTCCTTTAAAATCTGACCTAGAGGGCTTTTAAAGTTGCAATGAAGAACATTTGAAGAAGGAAAAAAATAAAAATCTATCTCACTAGCTGTTAAATACTAATACATACATCTACAATGCAGGTAGATTTTTTTTTTCATTAAAGAATTTCTTAATATAATTTAATAGGCATTTGATTATTAGACTCCCAGTGGACACATATGTGCTTTCTGGGAAGGCACATCCTCAAAGCTGAGGCAAAGCAACTTTTTTACAGACTAATGTAAGAGCCCCTGGGAAAAAAACTATATTAATATTCTCCATATGTCCTTCCCTCCTTCCTGAACTTACTTCTCATCTTAAAGGTCTCTTTTACCTGGTGCAATTGCATAGACATCAAAATCCTTAACTCCCTCTTCTCGCAGCAGAACTTCATCAATAATGAAATTTCCAGTGAAACTTTTTGGTTTTGTTAAAATGCAGTATGCAGCATCTGCCAGGATATCTGTTTTCCTGCACTGTTTTTCTATTCCAGCTCCTCCCAGCATATCCATAGCAGCTGTATGTATGGCTAGAAAGTTTGAACAGTAAGGAAACAAAGCTTAAACATTGATGACGTGGAATTCCCATTTCTCTCGCACGTATACAACCTTAATTTTCTTTTCATGCAAAAGGAAACTGTAGGAAGACAAAAGCTATGAAATACTCCCAACCAACAAATAACTCTTTACAAGCAACAGTGAAAACTAGGAAACTACTAAAGGAATCAAAAAGGGCAGAATGTTTTATGACATTCACATCCCCCTACCTATTTATCAGTGGTCACCCCACCCCGTCCCTTCTGGATTTCGAGGGTTATTCAGGTCATGAAAAACTAACAGGACAACTATTTTCCTCAAAGTGAATGTGTGATACCTGAGTCATTAAGAGGTATTCCCTATGATGATTATTACACTGAAAGTCTCGATGATTAATTTTAGCCTTTTGATAACTCCCATGAGAAAGACATTAAGCTCTTAGCGTCCAAAGCAGGGCAACAAGGATGGTGAAGGGCAGCTGAGGTCACTTGGTCTGTTCAGCCTGGAGAAGAGGAGATTGAGGGGAGACCTCATTGCAGTCTACAACATCCTTGTGAGGGGAAGAGGAGGGGCAGGCACTGATCTCTGCGGTGACCAGTGACAGGACCCAAGGGAATGTCAGGGGAGGTTAGGCTGGATGTTAGAAAAGGCTTCTTCACCCAGAGGGTGGTTGAACACTGGAACAGGATCCCCAGGGGCAAGCACCATAGCACCAAGCCTGACAGAGTTCAAGATACTCTCAGGCACATGGTGTGATTCTTGGGGATGGTCCTGTGCACAATTAAGAGTTGGACTTTTTGATCCTTGTGAGTCCCTTCCAACTCAGCACATTCTGTGATTCTGTGATACTAAAGGGTTTCTCCAAAGTTAATGAGAAACCAAATAGCAAAACCTCAAACAACTTGTTCAAGATTTCACAGAAAGGCTGTGTTAGACCCAAGAATAAAATTCACATCTCCTAAGCTTCTGGTTCTTATATTAACTAAATCTGCTACTTCTGCACCATTCCATTAATTTTGTTTATGCCTCCCCCATGGGAGCTATTAACACTATGGTATGTTGCAGTCCAAGTCTGTGATTTGCTCTTCCAGGCTGAGGTATCCATTCCATTTTTCTTTCATCCTATTCCACAGAAAGGATGTAGTGTTGTAGTGTTCTACACTTGTCATGTTACTTTTTTCCCCTCATACAGTTCTGCTTTTTTCCATCTGCTTTTTAAGACTCAACACTCTACTCTCAAGTTTTGGGACAGAAGAGCATGGAAGCAGAACAATAAACTTGATTTTACATCACTTTTTTCCTCCTTTCGGTCCTCCATTCCACACAAAGTAAGAGCAATTTTGATGCAGAAATGATCCCAACATTTCTTAATGAGCAAAAAATAGGCACTATGCAGGACATATCTATCTGAGCTGGATCATTCACCTTCCAAAGTAGGAACTGGGAAAACAGAAAAAAGTCTTCAGTGCTGGCCACAGAACTCCTGTCCAAGTGTTTTCTAGGAAAGTGCAAAGGTATGTAGATGTTCTTGTTGACCCCCTTATTTTACTCTTCTGTGGTCAGGATTAGTCCCTAGGTTTCATTTACCTTTAACCAACCTCAGCCTCTCTTTTTTTAAAATCAAGTGAACTGCTATAAATACACATTTAAATAAAAAGTGACAAATAGATATACTGTACATATATGTAGGTATCCCTAAGTCTTTTTCTCATCTTTAAGAATAGAAAATAAATTTGCATTTCTTTAGTCCTTTGAAATGCTATCTGCCCTGCACGACTTTTTTTTTTTTTTTTTTAATAACTACTAACAGCTCAGAGGATATTTCTGTCAAATACTCTGATGAAATTTACTGGCTTCTGTTGACCCAAATATATTCCATTATTCTGACAATTCATTAAGCCACTCACTTTTCCTGGCCCACATTTCTACCACTTCTCTGTTAGTGTCAACTACTGTTCTTCTGAGCACAGTCAGGCTATTGCATAGACTAAAGCAAAAAGGTCTCAAACAGTAGTCTGACTGCACATTGTTATATTCATTTCACATAAAGTGATGCTGGTTTTCCTCTAATGCACATGAAGAGACTTCCAGTTTTGTCACAGGACACCTCTTTTATTCCTCTGCGCTGTTTGTGATGGGATTGCCCTTCTGAAAGGCATTCTCTTTCACTTTTAGATAAATGGAGAGCTCTTGGCATCTTATTACCAGCATACTGTCACATGCAAATGAACAGATCCAGGCATCCATACTAACACTGAGGTTAAACACATTTGTATGAAATTATAGTGGACTTCTAAACTAAGTACTTTGCAACTTATTTTAGATATGGTGGAAGTCTGTAACACTATCTCTCTGGATGACCACAAGAAAGTAGTTAACTTTCTCACTTTTGGAAGAGAAAACCTCTCGAAAGACTATTTTTAGTACTAGAGAATTCACACATTATCCTCCTTTATACTTGAGGACACACTGGTTTTCCTGGAGGCATCACTGATTTATACAAACTTTGAGAGCTCATCCAATGTTTCTAACAGCCTTAAGATGAATGAGCAAGAATGGATTCATCAAATAAAAAGCTCTTTTGCATACCTTGAATTCTACAGAAAGCCTAATTACTTTTTTAAATACTTTACAGCATTTCCCAGAGAGAAATCTTCATTTAGAAAAGCATTTATTAGAATAGATAACGTTTTCATTTGTAAATTGAATCTTCCTGCACTTCCAAGCCTCATGTACTACAGATGCTGTGGGGAACAGGTATTAGCTTCACTCCTTAACAAGTGGCAGTTCCTGCAGTGTTCTCCTCTAACTTATTTTAGCAGGTACAGATGTGTTACCAAGGACACAATGGCACTGCAACGCACAAGAGAAAGACAGATATGGCTTTCTTTGGTTTGGGTTTCCTACTTCACCCCCATAAGAATGTCAGATTTTGCAGAAGTTTACTTAATACCATCTAGACATCCTTTAATAACAGACCACATCTGAGACACTGGTACTATTTGGAGTGCTGCAGTATATGCAAACATAAGAAAGAAATAATGTATTCAAATATGCAACATAAGACTTAATGTAACTTCTGCTTATAAAGTTAGCCATCCCTCTGAAAAAATTTCCATTGTGAGCAGGTGGTGAAATTCTGACAGGTCCTTTTTTCCCTCTCCATGAAAAATAGGAAGCCAAATTATGATTCAGACGGGTGGGGGAAAACAACTACATTGCAAAATAGACTTAGTATAACCATCTGGTCTCTGCAGAAAAAAATTCTTTAGCTTTCAATGGTATGTTGGGACCCATAAAGGCACCAACTCATTTCCACCATATTATTAGTGGATGTTTATTCCACCATATCCAGAATCAGAAAGAAGGTGTTGGAAAATCAGAAAGCTGTGGAGGGGGCACATAATGTGCCTATGCAGAATGTAAATATGTGCTCTTACAAGACACCTGTAATCTTGTAACATCTTTTGCATGAAAAAATAAGTGAAATTGGTAGTGTTGTCTGCAGCTTCATACCATGTCTCTGTCTGAACGACATATTGTGGATTAATTCCTTTACTGTCCCTAGCTCTCACAGACAACATACATTGTTTGATCAGTCAGTGACCGTAAAAAAACCACACAATGGTAGGTAAAAGGTCACCTCTGTTAATGAAAAACCAAATTACTCCCCCCCACAGGATTCTGAGGAGATATAAAACCCATTTAGCAGTGGTATTTTAAAGACAAGACAGGGGGATGGGTGTGAGGTCTAGGGAGCTACAGACTTCAAGAATCAAGTTTCATGCTCTGTTCCAGATCCCACAGATCCTCAGAAATCTTCGATGAAACTTTTCTGAGGTTTTCCTGGAGCGCTCAAAAAGCAAGTATGCGGAAACAAGTTCATATTTCTTCTAACTGCCTCAGAAATAAAAAAATACAAAAACCTGAAACCTGAAAGGTGAGCTTTGACTCCACTGGAAGGCAATCCAGACCCCGAAGTTACACAGGTAGTTGCCTTCAGTACATCAAAAATGAAGACCTTATCCTCTTCGAAACAGTACAGGTTTTGTGATGATATAATTATTATGAACAATATAACTGTAATTCAAAAAAGGTCTATCCCTTACCAAAATATTTCTATAGGTAAAACTCATAGAGTGAGAAGAATTATGAGGCATCCATGTACTGGGAGAATTTAAGATGCAAGCATCCAGACCAATGAAAAACAACCAAGTCTGTCAGACGCACTAACCCGTGTCCAATTGATTATCACCTATTTTAGCTAAGAAACTCAGCTGATTTTGTCTGAAATATTTAAGTTTTGCTCATATTTCTCACTTTAGAGAAAGCAGATCAGAGAGTTCCAGTTCGCACTACAAGTAAAAAGAGGCCTGCAACTCCTAACATGAAAACATTGAAAAGTGCCTGTGTACAAATACTTCTTACACTGGAGCACCATCCTCAAAAGAGGATTTTGGTTCATATTTTTTACTCTTCTTGCTTCTTCCCTCCCTGCACTAGGTTAAGGAAATAGACACTGCTGTTGTAATGTTTCCTAACACAATGATGGGGCTTACACCACTAAAGGGCAGGATTACCCTCTGTCTGGTATTGATTTTAACATCAGTATCATTTCTGCCCACAGATGTATTTGGGGTGAAGAGACTGGCCTCCTTGGCAAACAGCTGGCCAAATCTTGAACAGCAGCCCTGACCCCCACAGACTCACAGAAAATAAACTGATGTTAACACAGTGTAGGAGCACTGAGTTGCTTTTCTTCCACAGAGCTCTTTAATTTCCTGTAACTTGCAATCACATAGTTCTGTGAACAACTTTTCACAGAACTTCACTGTGCCAAAATTTCTAGGAACAGGGTTTTTTAAACTACTTCTACGTTCACAGAGGTATCTATCTTGTCAGTTCCATGTGAACTCTGGCAATTTAACTAGCAGGAATTCTAAAGAGTACAACTTATACAGATGCTCAATATCTGCTAATGAAAGCACACTAATACTTTTATGATTCTGTCCAAACCAAAACTCTGGGTGCATGAGAAAAAGTACAGACAAGCCAAATCTACACGCATGCTTTAACCAGCTGAAGGAGTTGAATGGGTTGCAAACTAGCTGAAGATGAGTTTAGATCAAAGTGGCAATGGTCTAGTGAGAACTAGGAATGAAGACCAGCACCCGTGCAGGATGAACCAAAATGATATAAAAGAACTGCTAATTCTTCTGAATCAATTCCAGAAGAAGTCTGAAGTATATTAAATGTCAAATAAAGCAAGTTCCAACAGTCAAAACACAGAAAGTCAATATTTTAGTACCATAAAAAAAAAATTCACCTGTTTTAGGCCATAAAGCATTGACAGCAACTTCTCCTCTAAATTCTTCTGCCATTCCCAAGACGCACATGGACATCCCGTATTTAGAAATGGTATAAGCTAAGACACTATCAATATAACTATCAAGGAAAGGTAAAAAAGGTAATAGATTCATAAGGAAAAAGAAGGTTTTTGAGACAAAACAGTACCTTCCTAGAGTCAG